GGGGGGGGAATGTAGATCTGGGCTTATAAGAAACTGGGATTTGGGAACTTTGGTGGCTTACAGGCAAGAAACTGAACTGCAATCCCAGAGGTGCATGGTTCAAATCTACCAGATACTCTGCTGGAGAAGGAGGGACAATCTCCTCCTGTACCAGTCAGATCCAATTTGATGTACACACACACACTAAATTAAAAATCTGGGCCTCCACTCAAAGACTTCCTCCAAACAAAACCCACTGCCGTAAAGTTGATTCCAATTCATATTGACCCTCTATTGGGATGAATCCAAATGTATACCGAATATATATGTATACACCAAGGCTTCCAGTCCCTAAAAATTCAAATCCATCTCCTTAGAGTGTCCTCAAGCAGACCAGCAGGTGGCACCACCAACAGGGATTTCAAAACCAAAACTAAATTAAAATAGAAACTCAGACTTTTTTTTGTTTATGCAAATAGTTCATTCCCTACAACATTCCTCCGGGAATGGTACCCCCCTCCCACCTCCAGTCATTCCCTCCCCCTGCCCTCCCTGCATGACCACTCTCTGCCTCAATTCGGAGCAGAAGAAGAGGCTTATCAGGAGAGGCGAAGATCCAGCACAGATCTTGAGAAATGTGAGTAAGGCTGATGGGGACCAAGGAGGGAGAGAAAAGCCAGGGGGGAAGAATCCTAGGCACAGGAGGCCACCCTGCTCCCAAATTTCTAACTCCAAAAGATAGAATTGCCCTTCCTCCCTTCATATATCACATCTATCCCATGATGCACACAGACACAAACCCCCATCCTGCCCTCTCAGACAGAAGGAGACCTTAGACACATGAGGCTGCATTCCTTGTCTTCCTCTAGCTCATAGCAGAGAAGCAGCATGGCAGGAGAACTCACTCTGCACAGGAGTATCTCCTCTGCATGCTTCCCATACTGCACAAGGAGTATTATCCCAGAGGCCTTTGCTCAGCCTTTGGGAGCCTTCTCAAGAGCCATGACTGGAAACCATCACCCTCAACTAGACTTGTCCCAAGCCAGTCCTCTTCCAGGAAAGGCCCACATCTGGAAGGGGAGGGGAGTGATGAGGCAAGGGAGGAGGATGGGGAGTGAAGCAAAGGGCTGACCTCTGCACTGGACTCTGCTCTGTGGAGAAATATCTAGTGCTGCAGGCTGCAGAGAATGGCCTCTTCTCCAATTATCTGCCTATCCCTAGCTGAAATATCTCTGTAAGGTAGAAGGGGCAGAGAGGAAAATGTTAAATGTTTAGTATTACGACCATTCCTCCTCTGGCCTGATTATACTCCAAATGGCCAGGGTGCTGCACGCCTCCAGCCCTATAGACACCTTCTTTCTTTTTGTCAGGTGGCTCCCTTACTTCCTGGTGGCCGTCTTCTTCTGCAGGGTGGAAGGATCCATCCCCCTCCCCCAGAAGCTCTATGGGGAGGTGACGTCCCCTCTATACCCTAAGCCTTACCCTAACAACTTTGAAACAACCAAGGTGATCACAGTCCCTCAAGGATATAGGGTGAAGCTCAGCTTCTGGCAGTTTGACCTGGAGCCTTCTGAAGGCTGTTTCTATGACTATGTCAAGGTAGGGAGTCAGGTTGGGGGGCAAATGGGTGGCATGGTATCCAAGGTCTCATACTCTAACAGTCCGGGACAGCCCTCCTTACATCTGACAAACCTCACACTGGTTAGAGCTGGTGGGCAAGTGGAGTTCTGGTTAAGTGATGTTATGTGATGTTATGGTTAGAGCACTCCATGGTTTAGAGACCCTCAGTAAGAAGTGAAAAGGGGAACTCAGAGGAGAAAAAGTACAGACTCTACTTTCTGGAAATTTGCTATCTATAGCGAACAGGAAAACCTCTCCTACCTACTACTTGCTGAAAGTCTTTAGGAAATAATCATTTCTTCAGTTTCTCTCTTTCCTTGGAGAACATTGCAGTGATAGCTGCCTCATCAGGAATATGGAGAAATGTGTGTGGTGGCAGCTTGAACTCTCAAGGACAGGAGGCTCAGTCCACATGTCTCTGTAACAACGAAAGGTTTCTTCCCAATCTCTTCTTTCTGTATGCAATGAAAATGCAATTCTAGATTAAAAATTTAAATAGAACCTACAAATAGGTATTCAATATGGATATCAATAAATATCACTAACCTAAAGATATTCAAATAAATATCATTATCAGTAGACTTTTTAGAAGGTTATGAAAGAGTAACATGGAAATGATACATCTTCCAAGCCTAGAGAATTTGGAAAGTTTGTCTTAGGGAGAAGAATGGAGAAGGTGGAAGGACTTTGCTGTTAGGGGTTGTAAGGACTGGGTAAACCTCTTCTGGCTTTGCAGTATCTGCAGTGTAAAAAGTTAAAAGGAGCTAGGCCATGCTTAGTCTGATGGCCTAGTCTATAGGGAGTTACGTTGCTAACCTGAGGCAGTGCCTTTCTGGTGGTTCAAATCCAGCAGCCACTCCACTGAGAAAGATGGTCAGTCTCCTCCCTGCAATTACAATCTCTCAAAACCTGATGGAGGGTCAGCCATAAGTTGGTTCTGACTTGACAATAACGACAGAGAGAAAATGCTTGCTAATGCTAAGGCTGGTGGGTCCCTTTATATCTGTAGATGTGACCAAGTGAGTAAGAAGACAGAAAATAAAGCAAATCAGTGCAGGCACTAAGAAGAAAGGAATGATAAAAGATGAGTAGACAATCGGGATTACAGTAGAAAATGAACACGAGAGATTGTGGGATCAAAGAAACATCTGTAATGTGTTTAGGGGAGTACAAAAAAAGGAAAGAGGCTGCACACCAGACACAGAATGACGAAGAGTCAGTAGGAAACACAGATGGATTTTGAACCTCCAGAAAGGCCTTGGGGTTAGCAGTGCACCAAGGAGAATGTGGCAGATAGCTGTGGGGCAGGATTTGTCCTTGGGGACAAGAGAAAGAGAATCTTATGAATCAGTCTTCCACTGGGACTTGTCTCCCGACCATTCTTCCTCCCCTTTGTACTTTCTCCACCAGATCTCCGCTGACAAGAAGAACCTGGGACGGTTCTGTGGGCAGCTGGGTTCCCCACTGGGCAACCCACCTGGGAAGAAGGAATTTATATCCCAAGGGAACAAGATGTTGTTGACCTTCCACACAGATTTCTCCAATGAGGAGAATGGGACTATTATGTTCTATAGGGGCTTCCTGGCCTATTACCAAGCTGTAGGTGAGTGGTCCCAGGACAAAGCCCCTTCTCACCTCAGCCATATTGAATAGGGGCAGTAAAAGAAAATCTTACGTCCAAAGAAGTGGCTTTCCTAGTTCCTCTCCTCAAGAAAGTTTGTTCAAGAGGGTTTGGACTTGGTCCCCATTGAGTAGTTCCCAGAGGTTCAGATGGCCAGGAACTGACTGTGTCTTTCAACTTCTAAATATTTACACACACATCCCCCCAAGACCAAAGCCCCTAGAGAAGTCCCCTGACAAGAATCCAACACTTCCTTCCTGAATTCCTTCCAGATCTCGATGAATGTGCTTCCCAACTCAGCTCTGTTGGGGAGGATCCCCAGCCCCGGTGCCAGCACCTGTGCCATAATTATGTTGGTGGCTACTTCTGTTCCTGTCGTCCAGGCTATGAGCTTCAGACAGATGGACATTCTTGCCAGGGTGAGGGCAGGTGGATATGGGATAAAGGCTGGGACTGAACATGGCTTGCTGGCCGGGATGGAGAACTTGCCTGTGACCTTTTTCTGGTTCTGCTCTCCCAGCTGAGTGCAGCAGCGAGCTATACACAGAGCCCTCTGGCTACATCACCAGCCTGGAGTACCCCTGGCCCTACCCCTCTGACCTGCGCTGCAACTACAGCATCCGGGTCGAGCGCGGCCTCACCCTCCACCTCAAGTTCCTGGAGCCCTTTGAAATTGATGACCACCAGCAAGTACACTGTCCCTATGACCAGCTGCAGGTATACATCTCACCTCCTGAAAGATCCTTTCCTCTCCTCCCAATTCCCACTTGGCTCCTCTCTTCATCCTGTGTTCTCAGGCCAATTATAAACATGGACTGGGACGGTTCCTACTCAGCTGAGAGTGGGTCCTTGGAATCCTTTTCTGTCTTAAGCTGAACACGTACACAAAGCAGCATTTCCATCATGCTAGCCATCAACTAGCCCTGTGGGGAAGCATCCAAGTTGGAGCAGTGACCCTCCTTTCTCTCTCACCAGATTTATGCCAATGGGAAAAGCCTGGGCGAGTTTTGTGGCACGCAGAGGCCCCCTGACCTTGACAGCAGCAGCAATGCTGTAGATCTGCTGTTCTTCACAGATGAGTCAGGGGACAGCCGGGGCTGGAAGCTGCACTATACCACTGAAAGTAAGGTTGTCAGCAGTGAAGCAGGATCGGGGCAGCGGGGAACAAGGACAAATAGCCCCGAGATAAATATTCCTTCTGGTCTCCCCAACAGTCATCAAGTGTCCCCAGCCCAAAACACTAGATGAGTTTACCATTATCCAGGACCTGCAACCACAGTACCAGTTCCGGGACTATTTCATCGCTACCTGTAAGCAAGGCTACCAGCTCATGGAGGTAAGAGAAAGAGGACCAATGCAGCATCCTGGAAGTCATTCAAATGGTGCAGTACCACAGGGACTATAGGCTCAGCCCAGCTAGAATCATAGATATTTAGATGTTTGAGTTCAAAGGGTCACTTGGCTACTGAAAACATTGACGGAGTGTTAAAAATACTGATTGATGCCTGGGCCTCCTGCTAGAGTTTCTGACCCATCTAGCCTGCAATGGATCTCATGTGTCATGACTATTTAAAAATCCCCAGGTGATTCTAATGTGCAACCAAGCTTTAGAACTGCTGACTAGTCTAAGAACTCCTTTTATAATTAGGAACATAAAAGTCAAGGATGAAGGAAAAGGCATGAAGTAACATGCTCAACATCACGGAGTGATTTTGCTGTAAAGCAGGGCCCAGAACCCAGATCTCCTGCCTCTTGCTCCAGGACTATTTTATACACATTGTAGAACCATTTCAGGCCCACCATCCTGTCCTCAGTCTCATATATTCAAGAAGGAACTTGGGTTTATCATGTGGCCAGTCCTACAAAACTGGGAAACTAGAAAGGTACTTTTGAAAGTATACAATTAGGGTTATTCTTTGCCAAGCACACAAGAGTGGACACTCCTTCCTTGTTTAATAGATCCACCTGGGAGATTAATCAGAATAAAAAAAAAAAAGACCTACAGTGTATCCAGAATGGTAAATTCAGTAAACAAATATTTTATGTGTCTACTAGTGTCAGTCTCCTCTTGTGTAATTTACAGCGCCTGAAAACCTTCTAGAGGGTCAGCTATGAGCTGGTTCCAACCCTACAGTAACTAACAACTAACATACATTGTTCTTAAAGCTGGAAATACAGGATTAAAAACCACACATGTTCACACGTCTTCACGCAGCTGACATTTGGATGTTTCATCAAGCCAATCTGGCCTGATGAATTGCTCTTTACTCCAGAATACTTCCAGTGACATCATGAAAAATAGATAGGTGTCTGGGCCTAGGTGAACGAAAACAAACGCTGCTCCCTCTCCTATGCCCCTACTATGTTTTACTTCATATGTAGTTCACAAGTACAGTTGAAAGCTAATCACACAGTTTAACTCAGATTATTTATATTGTGCTCAGACATTCTTGTCCACATATTCACTATATTGCACTCTTTTCTAGGGTTTATTCCCTGGGATAATTTTTAGTCAATAAAAATTCATGTAGATTGTCCAAATACTTTCCTTTTAAAGGGTACCATTTTCTGGCCCTGGGACTACTATCTACTTGACTAAAATAACATTTAGCCTACTTCATCATCTCAAATATCTTTGGAAAGGGCTAAGAAGCACCTTTAGAAAAGTCTTGTGTCCTTAAGACAATTGCTAATTCACTCACTCATTGCTGTCAAGTCAGAACTAATAGCTGACCCTCCCACAGGTTTTCAGAGGCTGTAAATCAAATGAGAGAAAAGTGTTCATCTTTATCTTTCTCCTTTGGAGCAGCTGGTAAATTTAAACAGCCTGCCTTTGGCTTGGCAATACAACTTCTAACCACGAGGCCTAAACACAAAGCTCCCTAACTACAGTCTAGGAGAGATAAACTGATATAGGCCTAGACTGGCAGGACTTTGCAAAGAAAGAAAAATATGTTATTGCTTCAGGGCATGGATTTTTCTCTCAATACAGAAGACACACAAACTGTTTTGGTTTGGTTTGGTAGCTTTTTTATTCTACATTGTGAAGTTTATCTGGATCTCAGTGAGCACAGAAAAGAGTCTATAGAGAAAATTATTCAGTCTAACAATTAGCTTTTGCCTTGTGTGTGACTCAATGTTCCTATTTATAACTCTGGTCAGAGAGGACTGGCTGAAACAAAGGAAGGACAGACACATCTATGGGAGAGCCAAGGTTTGAGAGCTTAAGAGATCTTTGTAGATACTTTTCCCACGTGGGTTAGTTTAGGAAGGGGGTCACAGTGCTCCTTTCACTAATGGTTCTTCTACTTCTGCTCAAACAGGGCAGCCAGCCACTGCTGTCCTTCACAGCTGTTTGCCAGGACGATGGTACATGGCATCGTGCCATGCCCAGGTGCATGAGTAAGTCATAACTCAGGGATGTGTCCCCTGGGGACTTCCCAAGCCCAACCTTAGGCATCTAGATGTGGGGCCTAGTCTGAGCCTCTCCCCAAGAGATATCTTCCCCCATTTGTCCTGTAAGCTTATGGCCTGTCTTAGGAACAAGTGGGTCTTCACCTAGACAGCATTTATGGACTCCTCTACCTAGACTGAATTTCATTCTGTCCGATCCCCATTCATCTCAAATAAGAATGACCATACGTATAAATAAGAAAACTTGTTTTATAAAGAAAAATTCTTTCATTGGTATACAATTCCCCACCCCCACCCCGAGTCCACTCCACTAGGCAGCCTTCATTCTGGCCTCTTGTCATGACAATAATACCCAATCATGTATCCCTTTTAAACAGTTCTCTCCCTCATCCGTTCCAATGCCATATACATAATTTATCCAATCTTTCTCAGTCTCACCCCAACCCTGATGTCATTCCCGTTCTACAACAGTGGCACTATGCAGTATTTATCCTTTTGTGATGGAGATATTTCACTCAGCCATTTTGAATAATATTTCATTAGTTCCTTGTTTAAATAAGAAACGTATTAAGTTTAGTAAGATAAACTTATTTGGGGGCACAGGGCTGTGAGCATCTCTCTGAAAGGGCCAGTGGGAGTAAGAATAGCACAGTCCCTCACAGCTTCAAAGCAGAACAGAGTTTGTAGCCCAGCCTCATGGTGTCTCTAGAGCCACATCAACAGCAAGAGGTTCGTTTATTCGTTGTTGATTCAAAGACTCACAGTTGTGGTACTCAGAATGAAGTTTTATTAGGGAAGTGAGTGGGAGAGGCAAAGATATCACCCAAAGCAAATCCAAGTTTAAGCCAAGCAGTCCATCAATTCCTCAATAAGTCCAGAATCCAGTTTATGATCAGCCGTCAAATCCAAATCATCCAGCGAGGTTTGCCCTCAGAGTAGTCATAAGTCAGCTTCTGCTTCAAACACCAGCAAGCACAGCAAAAACCTTTAACCAGTCAGCTCACATGCAAGAAGCCTCATGTCACATTTTGCATGGTTTCTCTGCAGCAATGCAGAGTCTTTGCAATGCCATCATCAGGGTTTCACCAACAAGATCTACTCCAGTTTCCCTTAAGTCTTGCTGCCATAAGTCTTGATTGCCTCAAGTCTTTCTCCTCAGTGTGGGAAGTACTCTCTCTTATCCCAATCCCACAGCTGCTGATTATTTGCAAGACCATGCTAATTTGCAAGACCATGTGTCTGCAGTTAAGATAGCTGGAGACTAGAGGCAGCTAACTGTAATGACTGAAAAAGCCAAATTTTAGGCTAACACCACACCATATTTCTCTGAGGTTCTCAACCTCTAACCTACTCTGTGAACTCAAAAACTCAAACTGAAGCTCACTCCTGTTGGTTTAGTTCTGACTTCTAGAGACCTTCCATTGAGTTTCTGAGGCTATAACTCACGAGGGGAGGGGACTGCCTATCATTCTTCCAAGGAGTGGCTGATGTACTTGAATCCCTGGGGATGCACAGCCTTTGGGTTAACAGTGTAAATGTTATGGACTACCCTGTCATAACTCCTGTTCTGTTTTGGTTTTAGTATCCCATTTCTTGTTGTCTGTGGACAGACAACTCATAATCCCCGCTGAGGTTCCAGTACAGTAACATGCACACTCATGAAACTCTGTGTTCTCTCAAAGTCAAGAACTGTGGACAGCCCCGAAGTCTGCCTAATGGAAACTTCAATTACACCACCACAAAGGGGGTCAACACCTATCAGGCTTCTATCCAGTACTACTGCCATGAACCGTATTACAAGATGCAGACAAGAGCTGAAAGCAGTGAATCCGAACGAGGTAGGGGCGATTCTGTCTTCTTGAGATATCTACTGAGATTTCATCTCCGTTCCTAGGGGATAGGAACTAAGGTATTTAACCATGGCAATAACTTAAAGGGCCTAAATTATAATGCCAAGAGGCCATTTGTAAAATTCAAGAAGGAAGTGTATTAATAGATACAAAGAAAAATCTAAATCTTACAAGCAGTTTCCTGTTACCATTTACCAATACCACCATCATAACCACAAAAACACCACCACAAATGCCAGCAACACCATCACCACTGTTGCCAACACTGTCACCACAACCATCCCACCACTAATACCTTATTGGTTAATGTTATTCATCAGCAGCAGCATTACCATCAATAGCAGCACGATAACCATCATTCCTTCCACTATCATTCCAAGGTCCACGCTTAACACTTTCTCCTTGGAGAAATTGGTGGACTCAAATGACCAGCCTTTAGATTGGCAGGGCAACGCCTTACCACTAGGCCACCAGAGCTCCCTCAGAAAATGTTAGCTACCATTATTGTCCATAATTTCACAACCAACCTACAAGCACTGATAAGACTTGAGCATGTTCCTTCTAGTTTTTGTGTCTAGTTTTTTGAATAGGATATGGTTACATATTGATAGATGTGTATGCATATTGACATGTTTTGTCTGCTTTCATATCTGAGAGTTACATATTCACCTGTGCATATATGGACCTTCTTAATAGCTTTCAGTACTTTAGCCTTGTATATTTGTACCTTTCCCTCTGTGCTCTTTTTTCCTTGTCTGTTTCTTAACTCCCCTCTCCCTCTACAACCAACACTTTCAGTGCTATACACTGAGTTTTCTTACCTATCTCCTCCTTGCTCAATCATATCCTTCTCTCCCCTCAGGAATGTATACCTGCACAGCCCAGGGCATTTGGAAGAACGAGCAGGCCGGAGAAAAGATTCCTCGGTGTTTGCCAGGTAAATGGAAACTATCTGGGGTCACCCACAGAATCTCTTCCCACCCAGCATGCCCTCAGAAGAAATAAGAGATAGAAAAGGGAGGAGAAAGTCAAAGAGATGCAAAATAAGGGAAAGGGGGATGAAAAAGTCCTAGGAGAAAGGGAGAGAGGGATACAGAAAACTAGACTCAGTCCTGACATTCTAGTCTTTTCCCCAAGAAACAGGAAGGCTACTTTTCTCCCTAGAAAGGAACAAGGGAAATGTAGGAAAGAGTAAACAAGAACAAGTGAAGAGATTGACAGCAGGCCAAAGAAGGAAATGTGGGAATGGGAGGAGAAAGAGAGAAGGACCAAGAACTAGAAGGGATGACAGAGAGGAAGTGAATGGCCACAGAGAAGAGGGAGGGCCAGCTCTGGGACCTGACCAGTCCTTGCCTCTCCTGTCTCTCGTCTCCAGTGTGTGGAAAGCCAGTCAACCCTGTGGAACACAAGCAACGCATCATTGGAGGACAATTGGCCCAGCTGGGCAACTTCCCCTGGCAGGCATTCACCAGCATCCATGGGCGAGGTGGGGGAGCCCTGCTGGGCGACCGCTGGATCCTCACAGCTGCCCATACCCTCTACCCCAAGGAACACAACATGCAAGGCAACGCCTCCGTGGACGTGTTCCTAGGCCACACAAGTGTGGAAGAGATCACCAAACTGGGAAACCACCCCATTCGCAGAGTCAGCATCCACCCAGACTACCGTCAGGATGAATCCAACAATTTTGAGGGGGATATTGCCCTGCTGGAGCTGGAAAATAGTGTCACCCTGGGTCCCAATCTCCTCCCCATCTGCCTGCCTGATAATGACACCTTCTATGACAATGGCCTCATGGGTTATGTCAGTGGCTTTGGGATAACAGAGGGAAGGCTTGCTCAGAACCTCAGGTTTGTCCGTCTGCCTGTAGCTAAGCGAGAGGTCTGTGAAAAATGGCTCCGGGGAAAAAAGAGGAATGACGTGTTTTCTCAAAGTATGTTCTGTGCTGGGGACCCAACTCTAAAGCAAGATTCCTGCCAGGGGGACAGTGGAGGGGTCTTTGCTGTGAAGGACCCAAACAGTGATCGCTGGGTAGCCACAGGCATAGTCTCCTGGGGCATTGGATGTGCCAGGGGATATGGCTTCTACACCAAGTTACTCAACTATATAGACTGGATCAAGAAGGAGATGGAGGAGGAGGGGTAAGCCTAGGATTCATTAGGTCAGAATCTAGAGAGCAGGGTGTATAAAAGAATTTGATAACCACTAAGAGCCCATATTAAAATCACTGATGCAAAAATATACGGTGTGAAAGAAATTATCTTTTCTAGAGTCTTAGCCACATCTTTCACCTGAAGAAACTCTAATGGCACTTTTCATCCTTCCAAGTATTCCAAAGGACATGCTTTTACGGTCACTAGTTATCAGTTTCATTTTCCATTTTTATATCATCAGATGCTTGAATAAAACTTTTTCCAAAGAAAATGTGATGAAAAATTCCAGTATATTAAAGGAGTAAACTGGCTTACCAGTTGACACCAAGTTAATGCCAACTCATGGTGTCCCCATGTATATCAGAGTAGAACATGCTCCGTAGTGTTTCTATGACTGATTTTTCAGTAGATTGTGCTGTATTGGTATTGCAATGGGAAAGTCTGCTTTTAGAGACCTCTCCAAAGTATTGAAGAGCAATGATGCCACTCTAGAGACTAAGGTGCATGTGGGAGACAGTGAGATTGGCACAGGATAGAGCAGGGTTTAGGGATGTTGTGTATAGGGTTGTTATGAGTTGCAGGTGACTTGACAACATATAACAACAACAATATGGCCTGGATCAGGTGCACCTTAGTCTCCAGACTGACATCATTGCTCTTCAGTACCTTGGAGAGGTCTCTGACAGCAGAATTTCCCAGTGCAATTTGCCTTTTAATTTCCTGGCTCCTGGTGCCAAGAGTGTTGATTGTGGAGCCAGTCAAAATAAAGCTGTTAGCAATCTCAGTCGCTTCACCTTCTATCTTGATGCTGCCCATTGGCCTGTGGTGAGAATCTTTGTTTTCTTGATGTTGAGCTTCAATCTATACTGAAGGCTGCAGTCCTTGACCTTCTGCAGCAAAAGCTTTAGGTACTCCTTAGTTTCATCAAGCAGGGTTTTATTATGTGCATAAGGCAGATTGTTGATGCATCTACCTCTAATCCTGATGCCACACTTCTCCTCATAGAGCCCAGCCTCCCACATAGTCTGTTCCGCCTATGGATTGAAAAGATATGGAGATATGCCACATCCCTGACCACACCCTTCCCAATTTTGAATTATGCAGTGTTTCTTTGCTCTGTTCTGACAACTGCCTCCTGGTCCAAGTACAGGCTTTACACAAGCACCAGTGTGTTCTGGGATTCCCGTTCTTCTGAGTCAGCCAGTTTGTTGTGATCTGCACAGTCACCACCCAGGGACTCCAAATGAGTAAAAGTGATATTTAAGCCATAAAATATTTAATAGAGTCCTAGATTAAAAGAACGCTTTTGCCTTTTCCACCAGAATGGCTTGGTGATTTCCATTGTGCTCCCCTCAGAACACAGGGAATCATATGCCTAACGCCTAAACTTGATTAAATCAAGGCTATGGCTTTTGGGGAGGCTTTCCCTGGTGCGTTTGCCTCGCTTTGGCTGGGAAGTTATTATAGTGTTCTGGCTCCCCATTGTAGCAACAACACCTTTAGCCTTTTTTGGGATGACTTGAGGTGGTAGTTTTTTAAATACCTTGTATAACTAGACTAGTTGCCCTTTGCCCTATAGCAACTCCCACTTGCACCACCGATATCACACGGCAGGAGCTTCACACAGGTAACTCTAGACATGGTCAGTAAAGATGTTTAATTTTAACAAATGAGAGCTACTCACTTAAAGTCTTTGACAGCCTCTTGTCCCAAGCCTCATTTTGGCCCAGAGAGAGAGAGAGAGAGACCCAACCCTTGTCTTTCTACCAGAAAAAGAATGTTAAGCCACTAAACTTGCTAAAAATTAACTCTTATAACTACTAAAAAAAAAGCCTAATTGCAAGACAAGCCAAAAAAAGTAAACATATGCTTGGCCTATACTTTAGCCTACTCTTATTTTATTTCCTTTTGAGATGGATTGATTCAGTGACTGGGGTAATTGGGATGGGTGTGTCAGAGGCAATGAGATTGGCAGGGTTTAGGGCTGTTGTACATAGGGTCGCTATGATTCGCAAACGATTCTATGGCACATAACAACAACAGTGAACTTTTTTTTGTTTTCCCCTTGTTGTGTACTGTTGAGTCAGATCCAACTGGCACAGGAAGAGATTGCCCCTTCTTGTCTCGTGGAGCATTTGGTGGATTCGAACCACACTCCTATGGATATGCAGAGCAGCTTCTTACCACTAGGCTACCAGAGCTCCCTTTTTGGTCTACTTTTAGTATTCCTTATGCGGACTGAGAGTGGGGTGGAGCTCCCCGATTAAACAAGCGTGGAAGGAGGAGTGTCATCCACTTCCATAATGGCTTGCCTCCCCAAACCCTATGAACTTGGAGAGAGGATGAAAGGCACCCAAGCGTCAAGGACTCTCCTTCATAGGGTCGCTATGAGTCGCCTGTGACTCCACGGCACTTAACAACAACAACAACAATCTTGAATGGACGTATTGTGATGGGAAAGTCTGCTGTTAGGGAACTCTCCAAAGTACTGAAGAGCAATGGTGTCTCTCTGGAGACTAAAGTGCATCTGATATAGGGCATGGTTTTTGCAATCACTTGTTATGCGTCAGAGAGTTGGAAAATGACTAAGGAGGATAGAAGGAGAATTGATGCCTTTGAGCTATGGTGCTGGAGAAGAGTATTGAATGTACCATGGACTGCTAAGAAAACAAACTGATTCATCCTGGAGAGGGTTAACTCGGGCTGCTCCTTGGAGGCAAGGATTCTGAGGCTTCCTCTGACATACTTTGGTCATGTTCTAAGGAAAGACCGGTCTTGGAGAAGGACATCATGCTTGGGAGGGTGGAGATCTGGTGCAGGAGGGGAAGGCCCTCTATGAGGTGGATTGATTTAGTGACTGGGGTAATCTGGATGGGAGTGTCAGAGACAGTGCGATAGGCACAGGACAGAGCAGGGTTTAGGGCTGTTGTACATATGGTCGTTATGAGTCACAAGCGACTCAACAGCACAAAACAACAACAACAACAACAATCTCAAATGGTAAACACTATACACTAGAAGTCTCCTACCTTATGGCTACCCTTTTCAGTTGATAACTACAAATAAGTTCTTTTCATTTCAAAGTCACCTATAAACCGGACTTCTCAAATCAGTCAACTCCTAGTTCTTTTTTTTCAACTCCTAAGTCATAAACCTTAGTCATAGATCAAAAAATTAATCCTAATAGCTGTTTTGCTACTACTTTTTAAACATTGCTTGTTTAATTTGCTAATAAAGTTTGTCTCCCAGACTCCAAGTGTTCTACACTAAGCAGATGGCTCTAGAAGGATACCAGCTCACTCAACCATGCCTCCTAGCCCTGTGCTTGCTTGTTGACCCACTTGGCATACTGACCAGAGCATTTAAGAATCCACAGAAGTAGGGCCATGGAGAGATCTGTAGCCCCTGTAGGCAGGACAACACCCAATCTCAGAATGAAGCAGCTAGAGCAGTAAAAGATTTTATGAACTCCATCTCTCCAAGGGGGAATGTTAAGATTAGAACCAAGGGAAGTAAAAGTTACTTCAGAGCTAGGAAGCAGATATTAACATACATAGAAATAGTATGTTGGGTGTATGAGTGATGTCAAAAGAAGTAGACAATTTGGGCCTGAATGACATCAGAGAACAGGGATGAGATGGAGACCTGCCCACTAAAATTTGAACTCTCTGTGACATTGTCTCATTGCCTTAGGCTTGAGCCCCAAGGTCTGCCCAGAGAATGAGTCATAGAGATTCGCCTCATAAGAAAGGGGTGTTTTTTTTTCTCCTTATTTCCTTTCAAGAAGGAAGGGCCATCCCTTTGGGGATGTAACTTTCTAATAAATCTATAATTACTATTTACCCTCAATAAAAAATCCATAAAATTATATATTTACTTAGAGATACAATGAGAGTAATTGTACACACATTTACAATTGTTGTTAGGTGATATCAAGTATGACCTACAGTGACCAACAGATCTGAACCTTTTCCTATTTTGTGCCATCTTCCTGATATGTTAGAGCCCATTGCAGCATTCACCATGCCAATCCACTTGGTTGAGGGTTTTTCTCTCCTTCACCAACCCTCCAACTTTCTGGGCATCATGTCCCTCTCTAAGGAATAGCCCCTCCTAGCAACATGCTCAAAGTATATAAGGAGAAACTTCATCATCTTTGCTTCCAAACAGCACTCTGGCTGCCCCCTTTCCAAGATATAATTGTTTGCTCTTTTGGGAGTCCATGGGATGTTCAGCACTTTTCTCCAACACCACAGCTCAAAGGTATCAATTCCTTTTCATTGTCAGCTCTCACATGCATAGTAAGTGATCAGAAAGACCATGGCCTGCATCAGATGTGCCTTAGTGCTCAAACTGAACATTACTCCTCAATAATTTGGAGGAGTTCCTAACTGCAGATTTCCCCAGTCAATGCGTCTCCTGATTTCCTGACTGCAGGTACCAAGGGTGTTAAGTGTGGATACAAGTAAGATGAAGTTGTTGACATTTTCAATCTTTTCTCCATCTATCATTATATTGCCTATTGGTCCAGTGGTAAGAATATCTGTCTTCTCGACAATGAAATGCAAGTCATATTGAAGGCTGTATTTTTTGATCTTCTACAACAAGTGCTTCAAGTCCTTTTCACGTTGAACAAGCACGGTTGTGTCATCTGCATAACCCAGGTTATTTATTAGTCTCCCTCTGATTCTGATGCCACATACCTCTTCATAGAGTCCAGCTTCTCGAATAATTTGTTCAGCATACAGGCCATGGTCTTCACAATTACTGGCTATGCAGCAGAGAGCTGGACAATGACTAAGGATGACTTTGAGTTGTGGTGCTGGAGAAAAGTTTTGAACATATCATAAACCACCAAAAAAAACAAATAGGTCTGTCTTAGAGAAGGTGAAACCCAGCTTCTCCTTGGAGGCTAGGATTTTAAAGCTCCATCTCACATACTTTGGGCAGGTGACCAGGAAAGTCTGGTCTTTACAGAAGGATATCATGCTTGGAAGGGTGGAGAAGCAGTTCAGGAGAGGAAGACCCCAG